CCCCAAAACCCCAAAACCCCAAAACCCCGCTTAACCAATTTTTCACTATATCTAACAACAGAAAAATGTTTATGAAATTAAGATTATTATTCAAGATGATAAGTATTTGAAGATTTGAAATTTGAATTTGAATCACTTTCATTCATAATGTGCATCTAATGTTATCAAGTTTTCATTAAAAGCTCCGCTTAAGCCAACTACTCTCGAACCTTTAGGCACATTCATTTAGAACTGTCTAGGCTTAGGAATCATATTCCTAGGCAGCTCTTTTTACCCAATATCTTTTAAAAAATCAGGATAATTATGCCCCACAGAGTATTTTTTGCCAAAATTAGTAGTCAGGTCTAGTCTAGATATATACGTGTTCATAATCCCAGTTACCTTGGTGATATATTCATTCTCACCCAGATCTATCTTAAACTATGCGAGTTTAGATTTATTCTTAACACCGTAAAAAATTTACTCATCCTCATCATCCTCGTACCACTCCTTACATCTCCAGTTAGGATTTTCACGAGCCTCAAAAGGACACAGCTTTTTATCCTCTTTTACGTTCTTTACAAAGGTAAATTTAAAGCCTTTAATAACTTCAATGTCAATAAAAGTCTCATTTAGTTTATTCTTAAGATTCATTAAATCTCTGGGGTTAATTGTTTAATACTCAGGAGGGTAATCGAGATTATTCTTAGATAACTAAGCCAAGCTAATCTTCTCACTTTAGGTGTAGAAAATCATAGATTTGATTCTGACAAAATTTTGAGCATGCTTGGAAACAAGATCAAAATGATCATGAAGGTCCATATTTTTTACTGTGATACTTAATTGCTTTGGTTGTACAAATTTTACTGCTCCTGTTTCCTAGTGCTTCATGTTAAGGTTAATACCAACTATAGCAGGGAATGGATAACCATTAGTAATGCACCCTACAAAAGAATGTGCTTAGAACCCATCAGGTATCTCACCTATAAACTGATCACCATGGGAGTTGTCGCCTACCTCTATATAATTTCCTGCTGAATCTGTGATTTTGATAAAAGTTATTATCTTTGTCCTTGTGATCTACACGCTTTTAATAGTATCTGAAGCTTTTATGTTTAATGTAGTCTTGATTATTTCCTCATCAGGGGATATCTTAGTCAGATAGGTTTTGACCTCTGACTTATAGCCATCGAGCAAGTAGGTTATACTAATACCTCTAGGGTAATTTCCATCTGAAAAGATATCAATTTTAATGACTTTGACTGATTTATAGATTGATAAATCCTTCTAATGATCAAACATCAAGTCACCTCTGCAAACTACATCCGACTTCAAGTAGAGTACAAAAAGATTATCATAGTTACTCTTTAAACTTAGTAGATATCCGAATGAATTCAAGCTGCTCATTAATATCTTCGCCTTTTTCTTTACATCAAGGTAGGAGAATATATTGGCAGTAAGAGGTGAGTTATGAAATAATGGGAAAAGTGAAGTCTTTTTGAAAAACCTCCACTTGGGGTCTGGGAAATTATTCATCTTGTGCAATTTCAGCATATCAGGGATTTCATTGAATATCATTTAAGATTTTATAATTATAGAAGTCTCACACTTTAATTAAAATGGCATTGCGGGGTTTTGGGGTTTTGGGGTTTTGGGG